TTTTTTGAGGTTAACTAGGATTTTGATGACGTTCTCATATGCACAAAATACTAGAAACAGCTATACATAAGGAAATATTAATTTAAATGAGGTTACTTGAACTTATATTTATAGGATTTGTATGCAAATATGAAGTACATATTATACTATAAAGATTGCTTATTGTAGGTTAGTATATAACTGATAGTAGACAGTTAAAAAAACATATTTAACGAAAAAGCACTACAGATGTTTTTATGCATGAAGTGTATGTCTATAAACTAAAAAAACACATTCCATAGTATTTTTTAATTGCCGGAATCCTTAATTTTATTTCCTACCTAAATGCTCATGAAATTATTTTTCATTATTCTAGTGACTTGCTTCAAGAGGTAATTCTTAAAGTTTTAGTGAGAAGCTGGGACCAGTGGAGTTCAACCGGGTCTGTTGTAAGATAAGAAATCACTGATGACAATGGTGGATGTGTCGCCCAATTTCGTGAATTAGTTAAAGTTAAACATTTACACCGTTGGATGCCGACCTGCTCAGTGGTCTAGTGGTTAAGCGCTTGCGAGGTGATATCGTAGATGCTCACTGTTGAAAAGTCACATACTAGTATGAAACTTTCACCTAATGCTTCCAGGTTTTCCATGATGGTGTAGCTTCAATTGACCTCAACTGAAATAAATTATGTTAAAATCATCTGAAATAAACATATTGGTACAAAATTATTAAATGTCAAATGTTTTATGCTCACCTAATGTTAGGCAGTAATATCGTTTTAACTTCCCAGTTTAATATTTTAAATAATTGTTAGGTTTCATAGTACCTGTATCTTTAAAATAATATTATTATTATTATGATTTAAGGCAGGTAACTATTCATAAATAGTTATAGGTGTCTTTCTTTCTTTTTATTTCTTATATCACCTAGCAAAACATAATTATTACAAAAAGTTCCTCTTAAAAGAAATAATAAAGAATTTTGTTATAATATTTCTAGTTGAATAATTTCAAATTTATTTTTTTTCTTCTTCAATCTCCTTTATGTAAATAAATGACCTACAAATTCTAGGTCATTTCACGAATAGAACATAAATAGATTAGATATTAGATTGTAAAATTAAATATATATTTTTTGTTCACAACATTTAAATGGTAACGGAAATAAATAAATTATAATAGATATTCCATAACTAAGCAAAAATAAATATTGTTTTAATGTGATTTTGTGCATGAATTACTACTATTTTTAAAACAAGTACATATAATGTAATATACAGTGATTACATATATATTAAAGTAAAAAACTATTTTAATTATTCCATATTGACATTTTTTTTATTTGAATTATATATATATATATATATATATATATATATATATATATATATATATATATATATACTTAATAATGAACTCGTCTTGTAGCTCATTTAGGGTTACTGTCAGTTTCAAGTTCGTGTAAAAGTGGAGGGTTGAATATGAGGTCGGCAACCCCATCCCATAGAAAACAACCTTGGTATAAATACATTAACCAAAATAAAAATACTTTAAGTTATACTTGATAACGGTTAAAATCACTGTGCATTAGGAAGACATAATAACAAAATGATAACAAGCAATAATGATGTATATAGCAACAACATTTTGTAAATTGATTTTTTTTACGACAATCATTTCAATTATTTTAAAATCATAATAATCAATCCAATAGATTAAACATTTTCATGTGGTTCATAAAGTTTTTAAGCAGTAAATACACGTAGTCACCAACAATCTCTTGTGATTTTTTCTAAGGCAAGGAATCCAGTTTAGTATTTCAGCTTATTTGATCTGTGTTTCAAACTAGATAAATAGATATGTAGGGTAGTCGGAAAGCTACTCTTTCTGGAGCCAAACAGGGTTCTGAAGATAACGAAATCACAATTTGGAACCGAATGTCAGACAGTACTTTAAGTTTATCAAAAATATAATACATAGGTCTCAATTAAATTAACATTTCGAAATTTAACTTTGTTTATTTGCGTTTATTATGTCAAACAGACAATAAGAGGCGATAGTTTGGATACTGAGAGCCGTCAATTGGATTAAAATAACGACTGATTGTCTACATTGATATTATTTGTCTGTCATCTGTGAACGATTAAACACTAGCATGATTAAGATGATGGTATCAAATTTAGGCGCATCATCATATGCCTTCATAACCCTTTCATCGATTTACCTCTGATAACTAATGGTTTTTGAATTATTACTTTGAACTATTAACTTCAGAACCATTATTGTATCGAATAAGTGTTTTATCTAAACTACATTTAAACTCACTGTTTCGTTATCGGAGTTTTACAGAACATATTTTTTACTAACAATTCTTATATATTAGTTAATGTCAAACATATCACTAAATGGTACAATTAAAAAACATTTATAGTTATGGAAGTGTTCTACCGTTAATTTACCATATCGGATTAGCCAGAGATTATTTATGACCTTTTAAAGTAAAGGTCAGAGAAGAAAAGTAGTAATATTGAAATTTACGCCTAGAAAATTATTGATAGTGTGGTATGCACTACTGATGCGGACCGACGTAAGTAGTGTGCAGCAGAAAGTGGGATGCTTATGAACAGAAAATTGAAACAAACAGAAGTAAAGTGAAAACGGCAAACAGTCGTATAACAACAGTATTAGAAGAATGATGGAGTATGCCAATGACAACTCAAGGAAAATGTGCAGATGATGTATTTAATATATGATTTTCCTATTTCACTAAGGCATTACGTAATAAAATTGTTTTCTCCACCGAGTCTTCGTTCACTACAATAATTGATTTCTGATAATGTTCTTAAAAAGTAAGTCAATGATTCTTAGAATTATGCACATTCAACTGTTACATCACAAGTCTCAACAAATCAGTCAACCATAGTTTTGTTATTATGTAAGACACCAGTTGGAAACTTTCTATGTTCATTTTAACAGCACAATTAGCGAAGAACAAAGCGAGTTAATAGGGTATGACATTCTGCAACTACTACTGTATCATGGAAATTACGCCTGCGGATCTGCTTTTATTATCAAAATTATTTTCATCGTCTCATCGAAAAATTGGGTTTTAATATATGCACACGTTTAGAAAAGTGAAATTTTAACACTATTCTAGGGTAAAATACAACTTGGTCCATTCAGCGTATGTAAAACGATAATTGAAGAAAACTGTAGATAGGAATATATTATTAGGCAGCAAGTGTGGCAAAACTATAATTTACGAATAAACCGATGAAACTAAAGATAGCATTTCTTGGATTTTAGCTCAAAGTTAATTTACCCAAAATATTAAACAGGAATTTCACATCATATCTGGTTTCGAATTGCGATAAGAATCTAACTTCAATTCTTAACTCAAATTTATGATATTCAATCCTAATTCTAATTCTTCACACTAATTTATAATCATATTTTAACCTCAAAAAGTGAGTCGATATTCTCAAGGTCACTTTACCGACGCTCAAATGTGGTTTCCAGATTGTGGTCTCACAGCAAATGTGTCAACGAAACTTCACTAGTCGAACATATGATAATAAATTCCTTAATGAATGGGGTTGAAAAAACCGATGACCGAAAATTATTAATGTGCTGCTATTTACATCTGGATATGTCATGATCACATACAGAATTTGATTAAAGACAAGTTCATACATGATGGAAAAAGTGTCCGATATGATCAAATATACAATGTTGTTCATTTATTTACCAAAAATTGTGATATTCGTGAGGAGCACCTAAAAATGATGATAGGCTACTGTAAGACACCTATTAAAATTTTCAAACCATCTCTTTCGATCGAGTCGTACTCAGATTTTGCTAAATTGCTTTACACAATTTTGCTTGTTCATATTACATGATTATCTACTTTTATACATTGTCAAATCAATAGAAATTATATTACCACTGAAAATATCTTTAATGATTGTGAAATATATAGAAGGAATCAATAAAAATAAGTAAGCTGTAAAGTTGGAGACAACCATAATAACTGCAAATATTACTATATTAGTTGTACCAATAAAGGTTTGGTGATAATCAACGCTATATATTGATCTGTTTCTATTTGTACATGTAGCTTCTGAGCTGTTGCCTTGATTATAGCTACAGATAAATATGTTGAGGTTCTAAATAGAAATAAGTTGAATTATTCATGTTATGTTCCATGTTGGAACCACTAGTTGAGTTTTCATATATTTCATTGTTTACATTCAGACTACGACTCATTTAAAGAAATAAGTTCTATTTTTGAGTCTTTGCGTCTGATTCAAACGTGCATCCTTAATTTATTTGTTAATCATAAATCAAAAACAAAACAAAGCCTAAAAGCATAAATTATAATGAAAGATTTTATGAAAACAAAGAAAAAATGTCTTTAAATACCTTTTTCATTTATTTAATGTTTATTTAAAATATACCAATTTGAAAACATTATTCTCTTATGAAAAAAGTCAAAAGGAAAACAACAACAACAACAAAAATTCATAAGTAATTTATCTTCATTTAACCTTCAACCATATTATTTACAAAAAGAATTATTCTTTTATATATCTAATTAACAAAAGAAACGTCTTCAACAACAACAATAACAACGACAACAACAACAAAAAATATGTACTTTAATGTATCAGTCGGATCGTTTGTTATTTATTCTTTATTTTTAAATGTTATGTCCAAGTTCATTCAAATGATTTGTTAATGTTTTTTTGTTGTTGTTGGAATAATCAAATGTTAAGGTTACATATTTCATATTATTTAGACAATATAAACATATATTACTTTGTATGTTTTCTTATTACTTCTATTCAATTTAAAAAGAAATACATCGTACAAAAGAATATGTAAAAACTTCCTTGTTTCATCTAAACAAATAATAACGTGTTTTTTTTGTCAAGAATTAAAAACTTAATTATAAATAGATAAACAATTTCAACAATACATAAATTTTACAAAATTGAATTTAATAAGGAATAAACTTACCCCAATGTTGTCATAGTGACAATAGTATACCATGATGCATCAGGGATACTATAGAATGATGAATTTTCATCAAATTTTTCAATGTAATATATAACAGTAGCAAATATGATCACAACCAATGTTAAACTAAACAAAAGAAAACCTAATTCTTCTGCGCATGATTTCAATGTATATCCCAATATACGTAACCCTTGACTATGTCTTGAAAATTTAAATATACGAAATACTCGAAATACACGAAGTGTAACTAATGATCCTGAGAATTGTAATCCAGCTGGTACAATTAAACTTATATAATACGGTAAAACAGCGGTTAAATCAATTACAGCCATGACTGATCTCATATACTTACAACGTGATGGTGAAGCATATAATCGTGAAATGTATTCAATAGTAAATATTAATACACAAGCAGTATCTATACAGAAAAATATATTTGCATATTTATCACCATAGGTTCGTAAAGGATAAACATCTTTTAATTTGCCATCACTGTACGGTATAGTTTCAGCCATATTGGATAAAACAGAAATAATTATAAAAAATCCAGTTGTATAATAAATCATATATGCTGCACTATTTTCTTCAGGATTTTCAAACATTGTCCATAATTTTTCACGAAATTTTACATTACTATTTACAGTTAACGATTTATATTGTGTAAATGTTTTTTTATCATCTTCTAAACGTTGTTCTATATCTTTCGAATGATCAATAAAACTTTCATAACAACAATCTGATAGATTATCAGATAAAATAGAAAAATATTTTAATTCATTTTCAAATGCTGATATACATATATTTTTTGGAAAATGTAATTTACCATGTTGATAATATGTTAATATATATCGAAATAATTCTGGATCTCGATCAAAAAAATATTCATTATTTACACTATCATAAAAATATTCACGTTCAACAGAACCAAGTAATGTTGATGGATAACGTTGAACAAGTGATTCAGTTAATTCAAAATGTACACCACTAACATTAATAATAATTTTTTTATCAGATATTTTTGTTTGTCTACTTAAATCAAGTAGATCAACTTCATTACATAACACTGGTGCTAAACCAAGTATAGTAGCTTGTTTTAATAGTTGCCATGAAATTTCAGAAACCATGTTGATATATTAACATAAGTTAATAGATGAAAATTATAGTATACTTTCAACATTATGTATTAAGTAGCATTATTTTCAAGAAAATTATTTAGTTACTTGTCACGTTGAATAGTAATATGCTCTATGAGTTATTTTATTCGTATAGAAATAGTTTTCAAAGTATTTATAATTGTATTTATATTTGATTATTGTTTTTTTTAAAGATAATACTTTGTAAATAATGTGGTTGTTAAATAGTTCTTTAAAACAGTTAGCTTCTTTCAAACAACCAATCAGATGATGTTTAATAATTGTCCAATAAAATATTCGGATAATAATATATGACTGAATAATAAAATAAATCTGTATTTTGAAGACGACACTTCAACATCCATCTTTAAAACAAAATATTTTGTAACATACATTACATGTATATACATCAAGTTGTTATGTAAATGTTGTTTATGCTTTTTCAGTTTTGCGCAAGTATTAAAAACAAGATTTATAATATAAATGATTAATACATTTCTTTGTCTATTACACGAAAGGAAAATTTAATTTATCGAAGCTGAGTAAACAAGAAATTGAAAAGAGTACTGAAATAGATCATTTTGTCAATTAGTAGTTTAGTCTTGTAACCTATTAATAGGTTGGTTTTTATAAAGTAGATGATATAAACTTAAATGACTGAGAAAATTTTTCTCAAAATTTAGTCAAGTTGTTATAACAATATCTCAACGAAATATAACATAACTTAGTTATAACTATAAGCCCATATATGTTCAGTAGTAATTAAGCATGCTCTTCTATAATTGCAGGAGATTATGAGGACTCTGAAGTGACCTTTTCTTATATTTGTAGAAACCCTAAATATTAGAAAATTTATGTTTTTTTCACTGAAGTTTTCTTGTCAACTACTCGATTTAATCCATTTGTTATACCAGGGTGGATGTAAATGTTTACAATTATCTTTTTTTATGTAGTCGAACTTTTGATTTTATACTTTTGTGAGTCCTTCATGAAAAATGCCCCAACAAGTAAACATGTAGTCTAAATATCCGTAATTTACTACTTGATAACACTGCAATTTCAAATTCGTCTTTTCACCTCATTTTCTAAGAATTATTGCTATTAGGTAACACTGAACTCAGACTTTGATTTCATGGATGGATGTTGCTTTTGTCATGTAATCACTCAAAAACTCTTCAACTATTCAACATACGTGCGAAATAAACAATATCTTAGCGATCAAGTAAGATTTATAATCTATTGTTAATTTATTTTAAAGTTGACCTAAGAACAAATAGAAGAGATGTGAACACAGATATATCAAAGTAGTCAGTTGTGTTTCTGAATGTTAATTTAACTGGAAATCAAATTCAGTTCAATTCAAGCAAGTAATGAAACGTGAATTTGCCTATTTTTTTTACCGAACTGATTGGAATAACAGGATCAAAAGCATTTAGTTTATTTCATAGAGTTTGATAGTTTAACAAAATCTAAACTAATTCAAAAACTATGGTGTGTTTGTGCAATATATTTTAAACAATCAGTCTGGACATATAGTTATCAAGTATTTTCTAGATTCAGACTAGTAAAAGTCAATTAAATAAAAGTTAACTAAATATATAACGTGACAATTGTAACACAGACTTTAAAGAAAGTGAAATGAAATTTCATAAAATCTTAGGTCTTTGAATCGATTAAAGATTCCCATGCCAACTCAAGGTTTGTACAATTTGTTTCTGCACACATGTAAGATGCCTGGGTTTGTTATAATCTAGGCTTCTATATATTTTAAAATCTGCTTTTTTCACTGATTATGAGAAACCTCAAAAATTATTTTAAGGTTGATCTTATAACCTAATTCAGTCGTGTATTTGACAATCTTGCAACGTGGTTTTCTACTCCTTTAGTTTTTCGTAGGAATTCGATACCAACTGATGATTATCTTTTTCTAAATTTTTTTTATTAGTTTTGACATCAAATTGTTCTAATTAGATTACACGTGAAAAACTGATTGAATTTTATAATGCAAATATATCAGATTTTTCTGATTAACTTTATCTTCACATTACATTATCAAATAACTGCATATACTTAATATCTCAAAGGAAAGAAACTAGAAAATCATGTGTGTTCAAAGGTTCGTACAACAAAAATCGTTTGTGTAACATTTATTTTCAGACTTGGTTCATTCTTACTTGTGATTAGATGCAGAATTTCTTTAAGCGATGACATGTGGCGAGGTAATATCGCTGAAGTGAAGTATTTCTTTATTAGCTAGACGAATTATGCGAAAACTCACAAAGAGCGGTACAGTTGTGACAAATGAACACTCATTCCTAGTCTTTGAATTCATCTGTAAGGTCACAAGGATAGTTGAGTTTTAGAAATTTTGGCCGACAAAAATTATTTCATTTATATTCAAATTAAGATCTAATCATACAAAATAATGGATAGCTAAATTAGAAAGCCTGAAGATTGGTAAACTAATAAATGTAAGTGTTCGTTCAACTATGGTCTATACAAAGCATCAAGTTACTTCATTATGACTACAGTGAGATCGGTATGTATAGTTTTAAAATATAAAGTTATTTAAGCAGTTCCATTTCTTATATTCAAAACAAACCTAAGAATATATGTCTCAGTGTTCTGGATATTTTTTTGAAATATGCACGGACACATATTTTGTTCACTGTAATGCTTGTATTCACACCAGATACAGAGTATCGACAACTTTCTAAAATGTAACATTTGATTTTATTTGATGAAATATGTTATTTTGTGAATCAAAATTATTGATAGAGATTCAAATGGTCCACCGGTCAATTCTAAAAAATGAATTATTTTCTATGGAGTTTCATGTTTGGTTTACAATATTCTCGAAGATATTTTATAAAAATGGGCTTTACCAATTTTTCAACCTAAAATATTTATAATCAGAGAGAGGTTCCGTGGATATTATGGTGATTTTTAATAGTTGAATTCATGAGTCACTTGACGCTAGACCACCATGGAAAACCGAGTCAGTGTAGTTCAACTGGGTCTGTTGTGAGATAGTAACTCACTGATGACAATGGTGAATGGTGGCGAAATTTTGTGGATTGGTTGAAGTTAAACATTAACACCGTTAGATGCCGACTCGATGGTCTAGTGGTTAAGGGCTTGCGCGCGCGCCTTATAGGTCCTGAGATCAAATTTTGCGAGGCGAGATCGCGGATGCGTACTGTTGAGGCGTCCCATACTAGTACGAAACGGCCGTCTAGTACTTTCAGATTTTCCATGGTGTTCTAACTTCAATTGATTCATGAATTCAACTTTTAAATCCAAATATTTTGGATAATAGTAATTTAATCTTGAGTTTTTTAAAATATTTTTTACGTTTTTCAGTTCTCTTGTGACAGTTTTCTTACATAAAATGACAATGTTTATAGCAAAACTTATGAAGTAATTTTTTTTAGTGTTTATAAATATGACTAAAATATTTTAAAATTATATCAGTTTACAATAATCACATGGTTGCATAGTAACGTCAATTACACTTAAGACATACTTATTATTCAATTTATAATTAATAATTGTTACTAGACAATGAATTTCAAACCAAGCTGTGAATTGGTTAGTTAAACATTTACATTTATTATTTTTATTTACAGAAAACATATTTTTAATTGACTTGATATTGTTTTACTTGAATCTTCCCATTGATGTTTAGAACTGCAATTGTTCAGTCTCTTATTGACAAATGTGCATATTATGCGTATTGGCTTAGCTACTGAGGATAACGCGATGGCATTTGAAGCGGACGGTAGCGGGTTGGAGTCTCAGAGTGAACATCAACTCTGAGATGCGGGTACATCCAGCTGAGGAGTCCCAAATAGGACGAAACGCGCGTCCTGGATTCCACTGCTAGCCACTATCCATCTTCGCTTATAAAACATATTTTTAGTTGCTCTCCGTTTATTCTGATGAATCAGATTACTGTAAGACAATTAAGAATAATTTAATTTTAATAGTTGAATTCATGAGTCAATTGAAGCTAGACCACCATGGAAAACCTGGAAGCACTGGACGGCCGTCTCGTCCTAGTATAGGACTACTCAGCAATGCGCATCCACGATCACGTACCCCGTGTGATTCAAACACAGAACCTATCAGTCTCGCACGCGAGCGCTTAACCATTAAATCACTGTACCGGCCGGCATCCGACGGTGTTAATGTCTATCTCCAACCGATCCACGAAATTACACCACCGTACACCATTGTCTTCAGTGAGCTGATATCTCTTAACAGACTTGTTTAAACTCCACTGGTGACATTTTCTCACTAAAACTTCAGGAAATGCCTCTTGAAGTCAGTCACTAGTGAGTACATGATTATTATCATATTAATAATTTAATTGTCTGCATAGTATTATTTGATAAATCGCACGATACAGATCAATAATAAATGTAATAAGCTGTAATGTACAGGTTGCTTACTTTTTGCCAGGAAAATGGAATTGGGCTGAATAATAAAAGCAATCGTTGGGCAAATTAAATAAATTAAAAATGAAGAAATTATTTCATTGATATTTTTTAATGAAAATTTTCTATACACTTAGTATTGATCTATTTTTCTATGTGATCTTTGATTATTCTACTAGAAACTTCAATGCAAAACATTCTCTTAAGTTTCATAATGTAATCATGTTTATGTGATTATGCTGGATTGTAATTTTTTATAGTCAGGTTAGTTACTTTTTAATGCAGAACAAAATATATATTGATTAAAGGAAATGGTGTTTGTTGAGTATAATCGTTCACAATAAATTGATCAGTTACATTATTTTATAAAACAAAAATAATCAAAATTTTGTAATTTCATTTTTATTTTTAAATCAATAAATTTATTGTCATTTAATCAGGAATTGTCTGTTTTTTTATGGTAACACATATATCATAAACGGGATAGATTACAGTGAACTAGCAAAAAACAAAATGAAAGCCTCACAAAATAATATAGAAAAGAGAAAATATTGTTCAAAAATATGCAAAGACCATTTAATATTCAAGTCAGTTTTATGGTATATGTATATCATATAGACCATTTGATACTTTTTTTGAGTTTAGGGTTGTGGAGAATGTTGTGTTTTGGTGGAGATCATGAATCGAAAAGTGTTAGAGCGCCATTGAAATCCTAGGAACACTGGACGGCTGTTTTGC